ACAATTACAACAACAACAACAACAACAACAGCAACAACACAACAACAACAACAACAACAACAACAACAACACAACAAGGACAACAACGAAATCATAGACTAAAATCTAATTAAACACAATATTCTTGCTCCAACACAAACTCCGAAATCATTCATATCATCATCATCATCATCAACAACAACAGCAACAACAACGGCAACAACAACAACAACAGCAACAACACTGCTCACCTGGATGTCTGCAAACGTGACAACATCCACGCCTGCTTGTTTAGCCTCGGCCTTGACCTTTTCACCGACGTTCTCCACCACCACGACTGTCTTCAGGCACGCGACCTCTGACTTTAAGCTGAGCAAGGTTGTGACCTTCTGGGCAGTGTCACACATAACTAGCTCTATCTCACCTGTAGCATGTTTGATACCAGACAGAAACAACAACATTAGTTTGTTTGTTTGTATGTGCTTGTTTATTTATTTGTTTATTTGTTTGTTTATAAAAGACAGTTGTGTTTTTAAGTTACAAAGAAACACATCGACACATTGAAGTTAACTTACTGAGTGTACATTCTATCCCTTTCAAACTCTTGTATAAAAAGCACTTTCTATTAATCTTTGTATTCTTTGATGGCAGGGTGCCTGGTTGGCGCTGCTCTGATGCGCCTTCTTTCCTACTAAATATATATCAACCTTTTCTTTCCTTCATTCTTTTGTTTGTTACTCTCTTGTAACACCTCTAATCTTCGGCGATTATATGACCTTAGTGTGTTGCAAGTGTCCTCTTAATAAAACTGAAAACTTTGATTACATGATTTTCTCAGAGAGGAACATAAATTAATATGAAAGATTTCGAACTCAACCTCTCCTTAACTTCCATTAACTTACACTGTGTCAAGATATACTTCACAGCAGGGAGACCCAGGGTGTCATAGATTGGAACAGGAACCATTGAAAAAGCCTGGCATCCAAAGTCTGCTATGCACCACTGAAGACAGAGAGGAACATAAAGAGGCTCAGGCAGTTGAAGGATGATTTGACAACGTCGATGGAGTTACTGAAATTGAACGTAAATACTATGTGACTACCGTCACTACAATTATGATCGTTTTGGAGGCTGGCTGCTTTTTCCTTGCCTTCCCGGAACATATCAGGCACAATCAACATAAACAGAAAGACGGATTTACTAGATAAGATATATTTTCCCTGCAATAATTGACCTCGTGTCTTTTATGTTTAAGGCGAAGAGGTTTACCCCAAGACTTAAATTCAAACATTCTACACCCTGCACTGTCATAGCGGCCTCTCTTTGCTCCAATAAAAGCTTCGCTTCCAAGCGTGCTCACAATGGGCACCCAAATAAAGGGCAAAACGCTTGTCTATGGTCGAGAACGTGAGGCACCTTCCCTGTTTGCCCTGTTATGGTTCCAAAGTAAGCCTAACGGAACGATGAGCTCCACAGTAAACCGGCATTACATTAGAATATTATTACAATACAAGTCTATGGCCAAACCTTGACACAACAGACCCCGGTTCACGGATCAAAGCAGAAAAGATGACAACAGTTACACAAAATAAAAATAAAAATAAATTCCACTTTTATTGATCTCAGTTGGGAAATTCCTGGTGCAATGATACACATACATTTTTAAACAACACACATATAAACATGAAGTATATATTTTTAGAAATACAACAATATATCGGCATTACATAACACACTATATCACAACCATACTGACAATCAACGCGCCATTGCTGGTAGCTACTGTGCAGCGCCCTCTTTTTGAGCTAGAGTTATCGTGTCCTGTTCGAGGACACACACCAGTGACCACCCACCAAAACAAATTGTCACAGACCCACCACAACAAATTGTCACAGACATAATAATATGCTTGACATTTGTTGTGAGCCAGATTTCACTAAGTACTCGGCCATTGGAGTCCCTACGTACAATGACGCTTTGCTTGTCGTTTATGAATGTGCAACAAGCAGGGGAAAAGGTGTCAAGTTGCGGTCCGGATTAAGCCTTTCCGAATATCTCGCAATCCAAAGCAGGAGATAATTGGACAAAATGGGTTGGAAAACCCGAGCTCCCTAAAAAAAGATAATGTCTGACACTATAGTATAATTGTGTCACTCATGAGCATTTCATGAGATAAAATGTTAGATCTTGTGCTTTGGGTTTGGCCGTAAACAATTAGTTTGAATCATCAAGATGGACAGTTTTGTCTTAATTAGTTAGAAACTCACCGCGTTCATATTTATAATTTTTTACTAGATTAGATCGACCCGCAGGCCGGACTAAAAATGGGTCCAGGGCCGAATCCAGCCCGTGCCTGTTGTATAACTTCCTTTATAACACAAACAAGTCTATATAAAGGCAGGGCAGAGCTTTTAAAAAAAATAGGGGTGTGGAAATTTTAGTTTTCCTCTGCCACAAACTACAGATAGAACAAAGACGTAAAACAGAGGAAACTGTTAAGTTATTACTTCAGAGCGGCACTCCGTCACTGGCACCACGTTACGTGCACCTCCTGTCGGTGGGACAACAGACTGTCATTGACAATTGACATTATCCATCGTAAGAGTGAAAAATAGTAATAGTCGTTAAGAAGTAAGAGACTTGGAGAGAGAGAGAGAGAGAGAGAGAGAGAGAGAGAGAGAGAGAGAGAGAGAGAGAGAGAGAGAGAGTAAAGAGAAAAGTGAGGGAGGGATAGGGATTGAGATATAATGAGACAGGAAATTTACAATGCTCAAGGATAGATAGCAAGGCTAAAACAGC